GTTGGCCTTGCGCATGGACTCCATGAAAGGAGGGTAGAAATCAGATTGATTGCTTCTGGGCTTGCAGATGGTAACAATGAAGAAAGATCCACACCAGGAAACTCTGGAAACCGATAATTGAACAAACTCCATGTGGTGTCTGTTGGGCTGCCGATCACGCTGCAAATCTTGTGTATTACGTCTGTTGTAGAAGAACCTTGAAATAGTGGTCGGAGGGTAAATAATTCGACCATGATTGCACCCATTGCCCACATATCAACTGAAGAATCATGTTCSAKTGCATGGAGAAGAACCTCAGGGGCACGATACCTGCGTGTTGAAACATAATGGGTGTATGGAGGTTCGCCATTGATCTCACGAGCTTGACCAAGATCCGCAATCTTGATTACATCCTTGGAAACAAGAAGGTTTTCTGGTTTAAGGTCGCGATGAAAGTAGCCACCCGTGCCATGCATGTACGCAAGACCTTGAAAGATTTGGAAACACAAGTTTCTGATCTCGGTTTCAGAATAGGGATCTGTTCTGTGTCTCATACGATCGAAGAGAGTGCATTCCATGTATTCAAACACCAAGAACAATATGTTCTTTTGTACGATAACTTCTTTGAGCTTCACAATGTTAGGATGATTCTTCATCTTGCATAGCGACTTGACTTCTCTCAGATTCATGCATTCTTTACTCGAATGATACTTTCTGTTGATCATCTTCTTGACTGCAACCAGTTCGTCATTCTCCGTATTTAATGCTTTATAGACAACCCCATATGATCCACGCCCAATTTCTTTGATTCTTTGATATTTTTCCATTGTTTATGGTCCTTTTTCTCGATAAACACACACAAACGTAGAAGAAGAAGAAAAATAGATTTGGTAGACAAATACAGAGCACCACCAGATCACCTTAAACCCTAGTGATGCTTCACAGATTTAGGCAAAGGGGATGAAGAACGGCCATAGAAATAGAAGAAAGTATTGGGAACTGTTGTTTATATTCACTACTTGAGAAGATTTTAGATATGGAATGTTTTAGGTTTTAAGAATTGTATTTTCCTTAGGATTATTTGTACTTTCCTTTTATGAGAAGATTGATATATATCCAATGCTGTTGTCCTAGATATTTCATAAACGGATCAAGATCATAAATAAGGAAACAAAACTTTCCATAATTAAGCATAAGGATGGTCCAAATGTGCAATCAACAAAATAACATTCATTAATCAAGTGAAAAGATAAGCGTGAAAAACCTGAAATCGTAACCGACGAGATCCACAAAATCGGTGATAAAGGTGTTTTTGGAGATCAGAAGTTATGATGCTTTCATCTGACCTGCCTTCACTCGTCACGGATTCTGTCAACGGAGAATGTTAAAAGACAGTCAAAAACATGTTCATACCGACTCCAAATCGGAAATTGCTTGAGTAATTTAATTCGTCGGAAATTAAACGAACTCTTGAATTGTGAACTGTAATAGAAGATGATACCGAGTTCGAAGGTACTGTTTTGGTTGAAACCTTCTGGTGAAGAGTATGACTGCTCCCCATTTTCCGGTGAACGGAGGAGAAGAATCAAGCGATGTTGTTGGCGGGAAAGGGGGTAGCCTGTGATTTGTTTAATGAATAAATAAAAGAGTGAATTTGGA